TACTAACTAGTACCTTACTATATAGTTAGTATATATATATATATATATATATATATATATATATATAACTACTGCTTATTTGATCTAGATCCAAAGTTTCAGAGTATTTTTTAAATTTTTTTACAAATTATATGAATATAAAATTCGGTATGTGTCATTGTCTAAATAGAGTTCACCTAAAACAAATATTAAACAAATGTTTTCGATAAAATAAAATAATTAAAACATCTTAAGATATTTTGATTATTTTATTTTATTAAAATTTTTTTTTTAATATATTTTTACCGGTGTGAATTTAAGAGAAGAGTGGACGCATAAAATTAAAAAAATAAAAATAAAAAAAAGTAGACGAGGGATATTGCGACATCTCAGTGTGTATTCAGAATGGCGTCCAAAGCTTGCCCTTAATTCGTAATCCAATTCTTCCATTCACGTGTGCAAACAGGCAAAGCGTCCACAGCAAGAGGAGGGATTCTGCAGTGAAGTTTAGCACGAAGCAACTCCACTATCTGCACCATGGGTGAGGAGATCCTCTTTTGTAACTTGCCAACTGGAAGGTGGATAATTTTACCTTCAACTGGTGGTTTTTGAGATTGAATGCTAAGTTTTTATCTTCAAATGGTGGTGTTTTGACCTTCCTTGTGGTTGTTGTTTTTGTTCATAGCTAGGGTCAAGGTTCACGAGCTTCGGGCCAAAAGCAAGGCAGAACTTCTGAACCAGTTGAAGGACCTCAAGGCAGAGCTTTCCTTGCTTAGGGTTGCAAAAGTCACAAGAGGGGCTCCCAACAAGCTCTCCAAGATGTAAGCCCAAGCTTCCAAATGGTTTTTGTCCTTTTCTTTTCTTATTTTGACAGCAGATTTTGGGGCAATCCCAATTGGTTGATTTGTTTTGATTTGGGGTTTCTGATTTGTACAGAAAGACTGAGGCTTTCAGTTGCTCAGGTTTTGAAGGTGATTTCGCAGAAGCAGAAGGCAGCGTTGAGGGAAGCGTACAAGAAGAAGAAGTTGCTGCCCCTCGATTTAAGGCCAAAGAAGACCCGTGCCATCAGGCGGCGCCTAACCAAGCACCAGGTACTCTCTACTCGCTCAACTTGGTTCTATCATTTGTTTTCCTTATTCTGCTTGTTTTATTTGTGTGCATAACGGATTTTTCTCAATAAAACAGTGCTCATTTCAGTTTTTTTCTTCATCTGTTTTAATTTTTGTACCACTGTTATGCTGTCTTGTCTTTTTAATTACGAGCTTCATTAAGCGTTAGCGTATCAAATGCAAATAGCAAGAAAGGGTCTGAATAGGCAAAGAAAAAGAAAAAGGTCACATCATGCATGTTTTGAGTTTGTGGTTGAGAAGGTTTTTAAGCAAACAATATGTGACTATGTGGCGCCACTCAACTGGGGTGTTTACCTTTGTTCCCAACTGTTATCCGACTTCATTTTTCTTTTTCTTTTTTTCTGATTTTTTTTGATGTCGTCGAAGAACCTCTTGAGGTGTTTACCTTTGTTCACAACTGTTATCCGATTTCATTTTTCTTTTTCTTTTTTCTGATTTTTTTTGATGTCGTCGAAGAACCTCTTTTCCCATGAGCACGGAAAACTAAGTTGATAAGGTAGTCATACTACCTTCTTTGATGAGCAGATGATGTGTTCAACTTCTCGCAAAGGAGATGCAACTTGGAAGGTTGCATCTGCTTTGGAAGGTTCAGGGGTAGATGATGTGTTCAGCTCCTTTATAGTTCCTAGTTTTTTCTGAATTAGGGAATGACCTTGGCTGAGTTTGAGCCCACTTTGAAGGGTGTCATCAGCCTACGAATCTTAAACTCACAATGCACCTAAGAAACTTGAATGTGTTTTCCGGTATCTTTGTTTTCATGGTTTTTTTACAGTCCTTTGTTTGTGTTGTCCAATTTTTTTGACAAAGATACCCTTTGTTGCCCTATCCCTTCATGTATAACTTTTTGATTTGTTGTCTCCCCTGGTAAAGATACGTCACTGTTGCTGTATACTTAATGTTCTTAAAGTTGGCTTGTGAAATTCCAATTTGGTCCTTCAATTAAAAAGGTGGACTACAGATCTTGGACAGCTACAGGGTATCATCATGTAATCTTATTGAGTCTGGATTGATGGGAATTTCTTTTCCTTGATGACACACATCCTTAGAGGATTATGTTGGTGGTCAGTGTTTTAAAACCAGGGGGGACTCGCTCTTGGACTCGTTGAGTTCTTGGAGTGAGTCAACTCTGCAAGCGAGTTTTAAAGAACGGCTAAAAAAGTACCTAAAGATTCGGGGAAAATCGGAAAAGATAGGGCAAATAAAAAGGGGAAAATCATTAAAACAATATATTATTGTAATCCTGACTTTAAAGCAACAATATAGATATGAACTTTGGCCAAAACCTATTCAGGGGGAAAAAAGGAAAAACTCGTGAATATGTGAGTTTCATTTTTTTTTTATTTGTTGAATTTAATGTTTGGATTCGATAGAGGATAGACAACTACACGTGGGTGAATTTTGAAAGAGATTGGAGCATGAACATTCATGCAAGAAAGGGTGTTGGGTTCCCTTTACCCCACCCCCATCAAAATTTGGAATGCTTAAAAGATATAAGCTATTTTATTAATGTTTGGACTCATGCGTAGGTAATCAAATTGCTTGAATAATAGGCTTGGGAAAGCATTTTAGAGAAAGAGATGAATTGGGGTGGTGCACTCCTGAGTGTTAGTTTTTTTCTTCTACCTAAGTAAGGCCTATTTTTGGAGATGAAAGATTGGGATTGTGTCTATGCTGGCGTTATTTGAAGAACAAATGTAGTTGTGGTTATCGAAAAGAAAATGAGGTCATACTCTATTCTATTCTTTATAATACGTTATAAAACCTACTGCTCTCTAATGAATAAAGCCAAATGAGGTCATATTCTGTTGTGTTCTTTTTTTTTTGAGAGATATTCTGTTGTGTTCTTTTTAATTCATTCTAAAAAGCCTATTGCCCTCTTATAAATAGGAGACGTAAAAAATTTCGTTTATGGTGGAGATCAAAGTGTCCACATCTACACGTAGATTTAGCTACAGCTGGAAATGGACATATGCCAGTGAATTAGAGAAGTAAATAGAAGTCATGTCTTATTTATGAAAGGGAGAGGAGAAGCTAGGTAAATGCTATTTGTCACATGGAAGTGATTGTTACAAGAAACATCATTGTTATAGCTCATACAATTTTTCTCCATGTATCCTTGAAATCAGTTCTTGGTCTGGCTGATTCCATCATACCTAGGTTCATTTGATTGTATTTACAGTTTAATAGTAGTCTCAGTATTTCTTTGCATTGTCATGACTTGTCTTACAATTAATGTTGTGTTCCATCATGTTTGTTCTCCATGAATAGTCATTGCCTTTGAACTGGGTCTTCTCTCTATTCTCTGTTCTCGTTAATTCATGAGTTTGGAGGGGCTTGCATGTTAAGAATATGAAATTTGATTAATGTGTTAAGAAGTTTCGATGTGATGAGCTTTCTCTTTGTTGGTGTGTTTAGAAGTTTTTGGATGATTAGGAAGAATTTTGTGGTATGTTTGGCTATGTAATTGACTTTTGCTTTTGAAATTTAATTGGGAAAAAGTTGAAATTAAAAGTTTATTTTTCTCTTAGGAGAAAAGTACTGGATTTGACGTTGTGTTTACAAGTTAAAGAAATATATTTTGTTGCTAAAGTTTCGTGTTTCCTAGTTCTACTTTTGTGTTTTTGGTTTATTATTATCATTTGCACACTTTCAGATTTGTAAGATGAAAGATTGCTTTCTTTTCCTCCTTTGTCATAGATTTGTTATATGTTTGTATGGTGCATGATTAAAAGTATGTATACTCCGTTGCCAAAGTCTTGTGTGCTTAGTTTAGTGCTTAATTGGTATGTCTCGAAGTTATTTGTTGGCTTTGTGGTCTATCTTGTTTTTAAGATATATAAATGCAGTGTCGCTTTTTTTGTTACAATATGACAGCTTGTACGACATTTTTAGTCTCTTTTTCATGTTATATACATTATTAAATTTGTTCTTTGTAAATAAATTTGTTTTGCATCAGATTCATTGAATTCACTTACATCATTATGAGTTTTCTTTTTCATTTTTTGGGTCATTGAATGTAAGGATGTCGAAACATTCACACTAAGTAGTTAAATAAGCATAACCAGCTAGGCTCTTTATGCATTTAGATAAGGTTCAAAGTACCATTCAATTGATCATCCATTCTTCTTGTTTTTGGTGAAATTTTCTTCCATGTCTTCATTATCCATGAAGTTTTATTTCATATTAGGGTTTTACAGGGGGGCTGGTTGATTAAGTGTGTAGAGTTGGGGCTATTGGAATCATCTATATGATAGAGTCTATATAAAGAGTAGGATTTCAAAAACTCGCTGAGCTAACTCAGGAATCATCCATATGAAATTTGATTAATGCTTGAATATGAGCTTGCTTGCTTGCTAGGAAAAGTGCAAAAGAGCTGCAGGTTTAATGAATTTCTTGGTTTTTAAATACAATAGAGTTCATTCCAAAATAGTTTGTGCATGAACAAGAATACATGAACACTTGTCCACTCAATATATGGCCTTATTGGTTTAATAAGCACGAGAGAATGTATTTTTGTTATCTCTCACTGCACTTCTTTTCTTCTAGGTCTCATGTGAGTTAATTTGTCTATGCAATGAACTTGCTAGTAGATATAAACCTGCATGACTAGTTTCTACAATTGTTTTTGTTTTTTTTGCTTTTTAGTTTTGTTTCACTAAACTTTCCATCTTTTGAATATTCAGGTTTTGTATGAATCATTAATTGGTGTGGGCTTGTTTTATTTTATTATTCAATCAGTCCTTGGCATTTTTATTCAAGTTTCGAAGGTTTTGAGATAGCCTAAAATGATGTATGCAATATTGGGAGAGGTTGAATGAATTGTATAAAACATATTGGAGGATTGCCTCGTGATGTTGGAGAACTTTAGCTATATATATATGTGTGTGAGTGTGAGTGTGTATGTATGAGACCATACAAACATAACATACATGATGAAGGGATAGAGCCCTATTCATCACAAATACTAATGCATTTGTATACATTTTTTAATGTCCATACCCTTCAGAGGAAACGACAGACTTTTTATTAATTATTAATTTGTGATTACTAGGGCTCCATGCCTTCATCATGTATGTTGTGTTTTGTAGGGTCTCACACATACACACTCACACACATATATATGTAGCTAAAGTCCCTCAAAATCACAAGGCAATCCTCCAATGTAATTTATACAATTTATCATTTGAAACTCGATTAAATATGCTAAGGATTGATTGAATAACAAAATAAAACAAGCCCAAACCAAAAGATGGAGTGTTAAGTGAAACTAAAAAAAGAAAGAAAAGAAACAATCATAGAATCTAGTCATGCATGTTTATATCTACTAGCAAGTTCATTACTTAGACAAATTAACTCACATGAAACCTAGAAGAAAAAGCATTGCAAGAGAGTTGCAGTAAGAGATATCAAAATTACATTATCTGATATTGAGTGGACCAGTGTTCATGTACTCTTGTCCATGCACAAACTATTTTGGCATGAACTCCGCTGTATTTAAAAAACAAGAAACTCATTAAACTTGCAGCTCTGTTGCATTTTCCTAGTAAGCAAGTGAAAATGTATATAACATGAAAAAGAGACTAAAAATGCCATACAAGCTGTCATATAATAACCGAAAACGTGACACTGCATTTATATATATGAAAAGCATTATAGACCACAAAGCCAACCACTGCAAATAACTTGGTGACATAACAATTCAGTACTAAACTAAGGACACAAGATTTTAGCACCGGAGTATACATACTTTTAATCATGCACCATACAAACATACAACAAATCTATGACAAAGGAGGAAACATCTTCTACGTTACAAATGATAATAATAAATCAAAACACAAAACTAGAACTAGGAAACACGAAGCTTTAACAACAAAATATTTATACTTAACTTGTAAAGACAATGTCAAATACAATACTTTTCTTGTAAGAGAAAAATAAACTTTTAATTTCAACTTTTTCCCACTTAAATTTCAAAAGGAAAGTCAATTACATAGCTAAATATACCACAAAAATCTTCCTAATCATCCAAATACTTCTAAACACACTAACAAAGAAAAAAGCTCATCACAACCAAACGTTTGAACACATTAATCAAATTTCATATTCTTAACATGCAAGCCCACCCAAACTCATGAATTAACCAGAACAGAGAATAGAGAGAAGACTCAGTTCAAAGGCTATGAGCCTATGACTATTTATGGACAAAGAACATGATGGAACACAACAGTAATTGCAAGACAAGTCATGACAGTGCAAAGAAATTAAACTGTAAATGAAATCAAATGAACCTAGGTGTGATTGAATTAGCCAGGCCAAGAATTGATTTCATCGATACAAGGAGAAAAATTGTATGAGCTACAACAGTGAGGCTTCTTACAATAATCACTTCGATGTGACAAATAGCATATGCTAGCTTCTCCTCTCCCTTTCATAAATAAGACATAACTTCTATTTACTTCTCTAATTCACTGGCATATGTGCATTTCCAGCTGTAGATAAATCTAGGTGGAGATGTGTACAGAGTTAAAAAGAACACAACAGAATATGACCTCGTTTGGTCTTAATCAGTAGGTTTTATAACGAATTTTAAAGAATAGAATAGAGCATGACCTCATTTAGTTTTTGACAACAACTACATTTGTTCTTCAAATAACGCCAACATAGACAATCCCAATCTTTGATCTCCAAAAATAGGCCTTACTTGGGTAGAATAAAAGACCTAACTCTCGAAAGTGCACCACCCCAATTCATCTCTTTCTCTAAAATGCTTTCTCATGCCTATTAATCAAGCAATTTAATTACCTACGCATGAATCCAAACGTTAACAAAATAGCTTATATCTTTTAAGCATTCCAAATTTTGATGCCCAAATCAACAACCAAATCCGAAAGCCTACTATGTAACTAAAGACCCGAAAACCGTGAACTATCATGGTGGATGCAAACCACCTTAACAACCCCAATTTTCCCCCAAATCAAACCACATTAGATCATGCAAAATCATGGAGAAAAAGGAGAAAAAATAGATAAATACAATGGGAATCCGTAACCTTTGAGAAAAATCTCGAATCCAAAGGGAATGGTTATGGAGCTTCACCCTTCAAAGACCATGCAAAATTAAGGAGAGATTTAGAGAGAGAAACCTCTTTTAAAACAAAAATCACAGCAAAGAATAGAGGTGTTGGAGTGAGAGAGAGTGTGGTACCTGATGAGGAGGCGCAGTCATTGAGGAGGTGGAGGAGGAGGAGGCGGAGGCGAAGGTGTGGAGTGTAGCAGCCTGAGGGTGCCGAAGAAGTGAGGATGATAGCGTGAGTAGGTTTCATGAGGAAAGAAGCCCTCTTCGAGGGTGTAACTTCTGTCGTTTTAGATAGAAGTTTTTTGTTAAGGCACGATGGCTTATGGTAGTTGAGGAGGAACTTTTGTTTGCTGTATCACATTCGTGCATCAAACACTGAAGTTGAATGAAAATGAGGAAGTTCCATCTTCCTCCCTCAAACTTTTAGTTATCAAATACGCACTAACATTCCATCAGATTATCAAACACAAACACCCAGAACTTCCTTACAATAACTTCTTTCTTCCCAGCAAAGAAGAATTTCCAGGGCAAACTATCATAGTGGATGCAAACCACCTTAAAAACCCCAATTTCCCCCCAATCAACCACATTAGATCATGCAAAATCATGGAGAAAGAGGAGAAAAAATAGATAAATACAATGGGAATCCGTAACCTCTGAGAAAAATCTCGAATCCAAAGGGAATGGTTATGGAGCTTCACCCTTCAAAGACCATGCAAAATTAAGGAGAGATTTAGAGAGAGAAACCCCTTTTAAAACAAAAATCATTGTAAAGAATAGAGGTGTTGGAGTGAGAGAGAGAGTGGTACCTGATGAGGAGCAGTCGTTGAGGAGGTGGAGGCAAAGGTGTGGAGTGCAGCGGCGTGAGGGTGTCGAAGAAGTGAGGATGATGGCGTTAGTAGGGTTCATGAGGAAAGAAGCCCTCTTCGAGGGTGTAATTTCTGTCGTTTTAGATAGAAGTTTTTTGTTAAGGGGCGATGGCTTATGGTAGTTGAGGAGGAACTTTTGTTTACTGTATCACTTTCGTGCATCAAACACTGAAGTTGAATGAAAATGAGGAAGTTCCATCTTCCTCCCTCAAAGTTTAGAACACGCACTAACATTCCATTAGATTATCAAACACGCACTAACATTCCATCAGATTATCAAACATAGACACCCAGTACTTCCTTGCAATAACTTCTTTCTTCCCAGCAAAGAAGAATTTCCCTGGAACGTTTACCTTCGAGCAATCAAACACGCCCTTAATGGTTTATTCTAAAGTTCCACTTGGCCTCTTTAATAGGTCACGTGTTAGAACCTTAAGCTTCAACTTAATGCTAAATAACAAGTATTTTGTTTTTGCATAATCAGTTAACTCTTTCAGTAATTTTTTTGTGAGTGGTATTACATGTTTTGTTTATAGACATCATTTTAGATGATGGTAGACTATACTGCCCATGTCGGCCTCCTTAATAGGTCATGAGTTACCTTGGGCTTCAACTTCATACTTATCTTAATGCTTTTTTATTCAATGAAAAAGGATGGCCATGATTGTGATTACATTTCATAAAGTCATAAACTGTACTCAAAGAAAAGAATGTAAAATTAAACTATTATATAATGATTTGATATTCTTAAGTTTTTTTATGAAGTTTCAGTTTCCTTAACCTTATTTTTTCATTAGAATATAAACTACACTCAGAGGAACACAAAAATATTAAATTATTATAAAATGATTGGATTTCTTTCTTTCCTTAGTAAAATATTGATTTTTAAAGAATTCGTCAATTATTTAAGCGTATTATATGGACTACACTCCTGACCTAGGAACCGTAGTTAAGTTCCCTTGAGGATCTCATTTTTAACCATATGGAGATTGGACCTATAGAACTAATCATTTGATCTCTAGAAGTTGGGATCGAGCTCCCAAACAAATTGGGATCTTGGGGTGTACGATGGAGATCCCAAACCTAGAGACCTTCTAGCCATCCACAATCCCTTGCTTTTGATCCGATCCCAAATCTGTCCTAATCCTGATCCCAGTAACTATGGTCCTACATCTTTGTTGAGAATGGATGGTGGATACCATTAGAGCTTGTCTATAATATACAAGACCTTAAAATGCCTTCTCGTTTTAACTTATTGGCAAGGTTAAAATATAATTTTATCGTTTTAAGTGCTTAGGCATAGTTTATTTAAAATAATTCTACAATAGAAATTTACAAATAATTGTTTAGGAATAGGAAACCTGCTATACTTGTGATGTGTATCAACAAATACAATGTCATTTTGGCCCTTTTTCAGTCTGGTGTTGTAGTGGCATGGAGAAAAGAAATTATGGCATGTTGGGCACTATAGGGTTATTGAGTGGCGTCAAATTTCGTTCTTGAACTGTATTTAATGTAAGAGTACCAACTGGGCTGGTTGACATCAAGCAATGGTATATGCTCTACTGCCACTCTCTCATTACCAACAAGTATAAGTTATTGGCTATCCAAATAGTGCTTTTTCGTTCAGTACATAATGTGGGGATGTTTTGTAGAAATCTTAGGAAGTATATTTATACTTATATTCAGAAATGCAAATGGATTATTGGTCTGCGAATTAGTACCAAGTTTATGGTAGTGTAGATGCTTCTAAGATATGATCATGATGCAGAAAGATTTTCATGGGGAAGAAAATCCGTTTATTTATTGATTGGATAATAAAGAGAAAGCCTACAAGCTATATTTTAATGGCTTTGCAATGGTTAAACGAGAAAAAGATCTCCATACCAGCTCTCTATCCAAAATTCTCTATATAGAACCCCATGTGTAATAAAAAACCTTATTTTGAGCCCAAGAAATCCTAATTATAATTAAAATGGAACCTCTAATCAAAACAAAATTCGTAACGACATTTTTACCCCTGATAAAACAAATAATTTCATAAGCACTCTAATTACTTTTTTAAACAACTCCTAAAATTATAAAAATATAAAAAAATCCTAGATCTCCTTAAAAAACTTCAAGAGAATTTAAAAAATACATCCCTAAGATTTAATAAGAAAAAATGAAAACATAAGAGACATCTTGTCCTGCATCATAATCTCTTGGTTGGAGAAAACTCATCCTCCAGTTTTGAATTAGGCTAAGAAGAATTTTGTGTTGGTCCTGCAACCTTCTTCAACCTGAGTATTGTGGTTCAAATCCTTGTACTTGTGAGTTATTGGCCGACTTGTGAGTTATTGGCCCTATCAAAACATGACGACTATGCATCGAGACTGGGGCTTTGAAATTGTTTGATATTTTTCATGAACAGTTTTGAGATACCCTCGAGGAAAGGGTTATTATATGTCAATAGTGTTTGTTTCAGCCAAATAAACTTGTTGGATTTCCCTCAATTTAGCAAAATAAACCTGTCGAAATTGCCTTAAGTTCAGTCTATTTAGCCATGGGTGCATCTTTGAGATGAGTAACAACTTCCCATATTGATTCTCCTCGAAATCTTGTTCATCATCATAGATCATATATTCTAAATGATCTTGTTCTTAATCTATGAATTAGTCGAAGATTAGTGATGAATCCCAGTTTGCAACTTGCTGATTTTGGAAACAACTTGATGGAAATAAAGATTCTCCACGGTTGGTCTCTTCCATATAACAAGACAAATTATACTCACAAGCAGCGAGAATACCTCTTTCTTGAGTCAATTTATGCTCTTCTGAATCATGAATGTCCACCTTCAAATCGAAAACCCTAGAGCGATATTCCTCATGTGTATGTCTTGTATCAATTTCCTCCTCACTAGACTCATCATGCATAGCATGGCATTGAAAAGTTTGTATTTGACGTCTTCTTGGGTGGAATGATCATTGTCTTTCCCATGAGTGATGCCTGCGAGTTGTTGTGTAAGCTGCCTAGCTTACATCCTAGATTTTCACTCTTTCATCTCTGGCATCACAAGGTAGAGCCCCCCTTCCACGTCCCCTTCTTGCTGTCATGGGTTCATCGACATCACAAACCCTAGGCAGAAAATTAGCAAACCCTTGGCTGAAATCAGCAAGTTCTAGGCTCAGTAAACCCTAGACTAAATTTGCATATTTTGGGGCTGAGATCAGCCTATCTTGGCCTATCTTGGTCTGAGTTCAGCAATCCTAGACTTGATCTAAGATTCTTGCCCTTGCTGACCACAAATCCTTGGCTTTGATACCACGTGATGTAGAAAGAATTTTGCAGGGAAGAAAATCCAATAATCAACTCCATACTCTTTTTTTGTTTTTTTTGACATATGAGCTCCATACTCAACTCCCTATCCTAAATTCTCTACGTAGACCCCCATTTATAATAAAGGTTCATACTTTAAGAGTCCTAGAAATCCTAATTCTAATTGAAATAGAAGCCCTAATTAAATCAAAATTCGCAATGATATTTTTAATTCCATAAGCACTCTAATTACTTTTCTAAGCAACTCTTGATATCCTAAAAATATAAAAAAGCCCTAGAACCCCAAAAAAAGCCTTAAAAATCCTAAAAATATGACCCTAGAAATTTCAAAAAATATATCCCTAACATTTAATAAGAAAAATTAAGAAATAAGAGGCATCTTGCCCTATCAAATACTTAGATCCATATGCTTTGCAAAGAAATTTTGTTTCTTTTTGGTGTGGCGTTCCTCATGTCTAATAGATAACTTACCGAGGGGTCCCCCAGTTTTTTTTTTTGTTCTTCTGTGATAAAAGGTGCCATTTGATAGTACTTTAAATGTACAATCTGGTTGCTTGTACAATAGGGAAGCTTACTTAGGGTTCAAAAAGTATACTGATCAAAACCACAAAAACCACAAATAAACTCCCCTCTACACTTGGGGCAGATTAGTCGCAAAAAATGGTTTGGGAAGTCACCTCTTTGGCGAGGCTATCTGCTAGTGAACTGGCCTCTCAATATTTTCAAAAATATAAACTAGCCTCTTGGTAGGTGTGCCTGAATGACATTTGAATGGATCCACAGATCTTGTAAATTTCATCAAACACGTTCTCCACAAGGCACATTGAGGACATGGTGTCACAATTTATGATGTTCTGTGAGTCTCCCTTGGCCACCACTGAGGAATCTCGGCCCCTTGGCGACCACTGAGGAACCTCGGGCCTGATTGACCAGTTTGAGTCCTTTTAGCAGGCCCTATATCTCGGCCTCATTTGATGGACCAAAGGCCCCCATGAAAAATAGAAGTATGGAAACCAATGCCCATGCCCTACCTCCTGGATTTACTGAGGGAGCACCCAGTGGGGCCCTCAAACAAGTGGGTCTTTTTTGCATTATAGAAAAATCCCTCGTCTTATTTTTTTTATTCATTTTCTTTTCTCTTTTGGTTTAGAAGGTTCAAATACTGTTCTGGACCTCTGTTTTCCTTCACCTCACTTGTGATATATACGGCATTATAATTTTTTTTGGAATATACAAGCATTATATGTGATGTGTAACATATTTTAAAGTGTATTTGGACCTTGACATCAATCATTATTTTTCCTTTTCTTTTCGCCCCCCATAGTTTTGTATTTCTGCATATGTAAATATCTCTCAAGGACAGTCATATGATCTCGCTTTTGTACAATCGTATCATATAGGCCACTGTTCTCTCTCTCTCTCTCTGCAGCAATCAATCATTTGCTTTGTTGCACTAATCTATCATTTTGCTTGAGCACCCACATATGTGGTCATGCTTCTTTATGCCGAGAAGCCGAGAATCTTGGTTCTGTTGACATTAAGTGCTATTTGTCTTGGCAGGCTTCTCTGAAGACAGAATGTGAGAAGACGCAGAAGATGTACTTTCCCATGAGGAAGTATGCAATCAACATGTAGGTCGCAGGTTCTGATTTTATCCTAGTTCTCTAGAATGGGTTTGTTTGTATATTGCCTCACTGAGATTCATAATCTGGCATCACATGGTCCCTTTTTTGGTAAATAAACTATTTTTGTCCATCTCTCCTTGAGCAATGAGATTTTGAGAAATTTTTCACCCTTTTTTCAAGTTAGAATTACCTTGGGTGGGACCTTGCTTTTAAGTGCCAACCACGCATATTCAGAGCTGATCAATAGGTTCGCCTAGGTGAATCATTCCTCTTGGACAAGTTCTTACATTGAGCTGTTAATGTAAGATAGGAATTGAGAACCACTAAGATGTATTATCGTAGATTAGTCTTGTAGTAGGGATTGAATTCCATATTGAACTCTTAAAGATCTGATTTCTTGATTAGAAGGATTTCATTAGTAGGGGTTATATTTTAACTGATTATTAAGCTTTTTTTATGTAATTTTTTAAAATTAGCCGACTCCAAATAGTTGGGATAAGACTCGGATGATGATGAAGCTTTTTTTTTTAAAAAATGTTGATAACATTGGCTAAGGTTTTACCTGGTTTCTACCTTGGTTCAGCTTTGATGGATGTTTAAGATACAGCTACACAAAAATGAGGGTCCCCTATTATTAAATTCCTTGTTTCATATTATTAACTCTTCACAATGATAGCATGGAAAAAGGATTGGACCACCGCTCTTCTTGCATTCATTACTGGTGAAGGTAGGTTGAATTCAATTTTGTTCTAATGGGTGGGTGGGATGAGGGGAGTTCCGACCCTCCCTTGATCTCCATCTCCCAACTTGGGTTGGTGTATCCCGTTGACGGTGGATGTATTCAATCTCATGAATTAATGATGTTCCACTCTGGGGCCGTCCCATGTAATTTTGCTTTGTATTCTTCTTGTAATATGGGAAATTAGGGAGGCGCTTACAACATATTTTGATGAATATGTATTTTTCTAGGGAAAATATAGAATGAGATCATTTGCCTTTACAACATATTTTGATGAATATGTATTTTTCTTGGGAAAATATAGAATGAGATCATTTGCCTTTACAACATATTTTGATGAATATGTATTTTTTTTGGGAAAATTTAGAATGAGATCATTTGCCTGTAATACAAGATGGTCACATTAATCTTGACCATTGGATGTATTATTAGGTGGCAGCAATTATTCTAGATTAAGCTAAAACTTCGAAAGAAATTTTTTCGATCTTTGTGACACATTCAAACTATGAAATTTCACATCGGATGATTGTAAGGAATTGTGATCACCTTGTATAAAAAATAGTCTTATTGCAAACATTCCCATTTCTTTTTCTGGATTGAATTCGGTGAAAATGTGTTTATGGTTTTAGAGAGAGAGAGAGAGAGGTGTCGGTGTCGGTGTCGTCCTCTTGGGGCTGCTTTGTACAAACTAATATTATTATGTGAGACACCTTAATATATGCTTTTTAGGGCCCACATTGTGTACTCCAATTGGATCACACTGCAAGTGTACTTGGGCAAATGATATGTATAGGAGGAATGTCTTGAAATTTTTAGGATTCAATTTAAAATCATATAATGAGTATTCTTAAGAACAATTAGATTTTGAGTTCCGTGGCACTTAGATCTAACTATTCAAAAAAAAAATTGAATGGTCTTCAATAGTATACATAGGATGCCTTTTTCTCTTTTTCATTTTGTCAAGGAGGGTTGTAACCCCAAAATGAAAGTTAGGGTCCTAGAAGGTACTGGCGATACGGTTTTATCGGAGTACTGAATCGATAATATGCTCATGTGGGTGCGGATGGCTTTGGGCTTTTTTTATTTCTAACTTTGATTGATTACCTCGATATGTCAACTGTGTACAGTGTTCTAGACGATGTACTTATGCCCCACACTTAAAATAAGTGTGGTTTTTGGATTTATAATTGAGGTAGTAGATGGAAAAAGATAGAACGAATTTCAAAGTGGTAAGGACGTTGGTTGCTATCGAATTGGTTGTCTATCCTTAAATTTCCAACTCCCTCAAATATCGATCCATCAATGGCTGTCTGCCCTGCACATGTTTCCATACTCCTTTTCCCACTGCCAACGGTATAAAAAACTCTCATGTTCCTTCATATTTGCACTGCCAGAATTTCATCTCCTCTTCTCCCTCTATCTCTCTCTCTCTCTCCAACTTGCTGTGATTCTTGACTGAAACAAAAGGCAGTTATGGAATCTCTCACCTCATTCACATCTGAGAATACCATCTTTCTTGCATCCCTCTTGGCATTGCTCGTCAATGGCCTCATCTTTTTGTGGAAACTGTACACCAGAAGAGTTAACCAGGCCTGCTATCTCCTTGACTATGCCTGCTTCAAGCCCCCGGACGACTGGATGCTTGACACTGAGCTTTGTGGCGAAATCATCAAACGGAACAAGAAGCTTGGTGTTGATGAGTGCCAATTCCTCCTCAAAATGACCGTGAGCTCGGGCATTAGCGAAGAGACTTACGCCCCACGATGCTTGAGCTTTGGAAATCCAAACAATGTTTCTCTGAATGACGGGCTCGATGAGATGGATGAGTGTTTCAAGGGATGTCTTGACACACTCTTTGCTAAAACCGGCATCTCGCCGAAGGATGTTGATATATTAGTGGTTAATGTGGCGCTGCTATGGCCGGCCCCCTCTCTGTCTGCAAGGATAGTGAACATGTACAAGATGAAGGAGGACATAATGGCCTACAATCTCTCGGGCATGGGCTGCAGTGCGAGCGTCATATCCATCAACCTGGTGGAAAACTTGTTCAAGCAGCACACTGAATCTCTGGCGGTGGTTGTGACCAGTGAGAGCATTGCAATGAATTGGTATTCTGGCCTTGACAGGTCCATGATGCTGGCCAACTGCCTCTTCCGATCTGGTTGCTGTGCCATGATGCTCAGCAATCGTAGCACAGACCGGGTTTGCTCCAAGTTCCTGCTCAAGAACCTGGTGCGTACCCACATGGGTGAGAATGACCAAGCCCACTATTGCGCATACGAGATGGAGGATGAGGATGGGTGCCCCGGAGTCAAGCTCAGCAAGCACCTCCCTAAAGCCGCAGCCCAAGCCTTTGTCAAGAACTTGAGCGTACTGGGACCCAAGATACTGCCAGTCACAGAGATAGTGCGGTATCTGGTCGCTCGGTATCTGTTGAAGCGCAGCAAAGAGACTGTGAGTGTGAACCTAAAGACCGCAGTGCAGCACTTCTGCCTCCATGCCGGGGGAACTGCCGTGATAGATGCCGTTGGGAAGAGCCTAGGGCTGACCGACTACGACCTGGAGCCATCCCGGATGACGCTCCACCGTTGGGGGAACACGTCGGCCAGTTCCCTATGGTATGTCCTCAGCTACATGGAGGCCAAGAAGAGGCTGAGGAAAGGACACAGGGTGCTCCAAATCTCATTCGGGGCTGGGTTCAAGTGCAACAGTTGTGTGTGGGAGGTGGTCCGAGACCTGGGCGACCTCAGCGTGTGGGAGGACAGTGTGCACAGGTACCCTGCAAAGACCTTAGTCAACCCTTTCTTGGAGAAGTATGGTTGGATTAATAACCCCGATCCGCAGAGGCTTGCAGAGGCCTTAAAAGATAGAGAAGAAAATTACTAGTGCTCGTAAAAATAATATATAATATAATAAATAGTACTCACCTTCTTCAAAAACAACCCAAAACAAGAACTGTAATAATCAGTTGTGATTGCTTGCTTTGCTCATTAGGAAAACAAGAAACAACCACTGTTAAGAAAAGTTATATATTGTGTATGGGGTTTAGGGTTAGGGTTAGTATGGAAAGGGAAGACTTTCTTTACAGGGAGGGAGACAAGCACCTTCCCTCCATCCCAGCAGCCCCTCCCCTTCCTTTTTACTTCTCTTTTAAGACATTATGTACTGTGCATGGGTCTCATTAGTGATTCTTGTAATGGCTGGGTGGTTATATTGGAAACCGTGTTGTTTATGATTCTTGTACGGCTTCGACAGCTTTACTTTCTCTCCTTCCATGTGCACATGCTTTCCCTTTTCTTATTTACGTACTGGCAGACCTAACCTCCTGTAAAGGAAAAAGTTTAAAACGCGGCCAGGCAATCATCATCATCATCGTATTTTCTCAATTAGGATAGGTTATTTGAATTCAGATCCGTTATTTTCTCTAGTAACGGTCATACCAATAAAACCAAGGTTATATGGAAAAAAATAATGCCTTAATTCAAGACTATAGTTTTGGTGTCGGAAAAATTTTCAAATTGATCATCTCGATTTTGATCATTTTGATTGGGAAAAAAATTTATGATTTCAAGTACTAAAAACAATGCTTATTTTTTAGTATCAATTTTCAAGTTTTTATGGATCCACAAGATCTATAACATTTTTTTAGTCACAAATTTCATATTCAGTGGTGGAATAGATTTTAGAGTCATCTTAGAGATTTCTTATGCCTAAAATATTTCTAGACAAGATTTTGAGGTTGCGCTTTACTTTTTTTTTTTATAAAAGCCTTATAGAAACTGCAACCATCTGTTTGTCAAAAAAAAAGAAAAGAAACTGCAATCATTTGAAAAAAGATGTTCAAAGATAAAATTTTCCTATATACATGGAAAGAGAGGTTACTTTTGTCATAAAAAAGAATATAAAGTTACCCAATAAAAGAATATAAAGTTTTGATATGTATAGAAAATGAATGCATTTCCTAAATTTAAAATTTTGAATACCAAAATAGGAGATTTTTGTTGTAAATTGAAGTAATAAATTCTGTTAGTCAATTTTGGTAATAGTGGAAGCGTTAACCATTTCCCACTAAATAAGGAGTGGAACCCGGTCTTTCCGTCTACCATGGTTGCCGCTATTACAATACTCTTCAGCTGGTTGATTGATAGGGATTCTAGTTTGGCGGTGTTTAAAAATTTAATGATAGGGAAATGTATTGCAGACATAACGTCCATATGAATGATGGATGCAAATGTTAAGTCCTCACAAAAAAAAAAAAAAAGTTAAAACGAAGGTCTAAATATGTTTTTCGTAAAATTATTATTTTTTAATTTTTTTTTAAAATTGTTTATTTTTATATATTCATTAGAGATTATATATTCTTTTGAAAATTAGATCCAAAATCCATATCAAAAATGTATTTTTAAGAGGGGACTTATATTTATATAGTCCTGACACATTGAAACCGTATCCTTCATTATGAGAAAGGTATATATTATTGTTAGTGCAGAAAACCAGCTAGCTGTTTTGATTGATAAAATTGGAAATTAACATTTTTTGACTTAAAAATTTGGAAAATTAGCATGCAAATGGCCTGTTTATAGCTAAAGAGTTTTTAAGTATGAAGCAGTCCACTAAGAGCAAGGAGTCCAACATACACACACACACATATATATATATATATATGGAAAAGTTTATATAGAGCCTAGGCTCTAAACAATCAAATTTGACCCTACCTCAAAAATTTAAACTAAAAGAGGTGGTTTTCATGCCCAAATATCTTCAAACCGATCATCTCAACATCAAGATGACATAAGAAAAAAATGGATTTCAACTTTTGGAAATAGTATATTTTGTAACATATTTTTGGACCGTCAATTTTCAAGATTTCATAGATCTATCAATCTACCCTATTTCTGAAGCTTT